CAATCCCTCTTAGTGTATATGGATGGACCGGAAGTTATTGGCAATTCTCTTGGCAGCCAGATGGAGCTAGATGATGCCATGTCAGTAAAAGGGACCACCACTGTTCCTTTCAGAGCCACACAAGAGAAGAGCATCATCCAAATTGAAGGCTACACGCCCTTGGACTGCATGTTCTGCAGTCAGACCTTCACCCACTCTGAAGACCTCAATAAGCACGTGCTGCTGCAGCACCGGCCCATCCTCTGTGAGCCTGCAGTTCTGCGTGTGGAAGCAGAGTATCTCAGCCCTCTAGATAAAGGCCAGGTGCGAACAGAACCCCCCAAGGACAAGAGTGGCAAAGAGAATGAAGACCTGAGCTGTGAAGTGTGTGGGCAGACGTTCAGAGTTGCGTTTGACGTGGAGATCCACATGAAGAAACACAAGGACTCTTTCACCTATGGGTGTCACGTGTGTGGACGGAGGTTCAAGGAGCCCTGGTTTCTGAAGAACCACATGCGAACACACAACGGCAAGTCGGGGGCCAAGGGCAAGCTGCAGCAGGGCTTGGAAAGCCCGGTCACCATCAACGAGGTTGTCCAGGAGCAGGCTGCAGACAGCATCTCCTCTCTTTTCAAGATGTGCATGGTTTGTGGCTTCCTATTTCCAAATATAGAAAGTCTAATTGATCACAGGAAGATGCACACCAAAGACACGGCTTCCGGTGACAGCAGTCCTCAGGCAGACTCTCAGCAGACGGGGATGCCAGCCCCTAGACACGAGTTCCTGCAGTTCTTAAACCTCAGACACAAAGCTCACCCTGAAACCGTGAAGCAGCCCACCAGATGGATACCTCAGCTCGACCCATTCACCACCTACCAGGCCTGGCAGCTGGCCACCAAGGGCAAAGTCGCCGTCTGCCGGGAGGTGAAGGAGCAGCCCGGGCAGGAAGGGAGCACCGACAACGATGATTCGGACAAAGAAGAGCTTGGAGAAATCTGGAACGGGAGTAAAAGCCATCCTGAAGGTTCTGGAAAGTCCAGATCCAATAAGAGCGGTTGTACAGGCCTAGCACAAGATAAAGAGAAGCCTAGACATGCCAACGGTGAAGTGCCTTCTGGGGATGCGGACCCCAAGTTGTCCAGTAAGAGTGAGAAGCCCACGCATTGCTCTGAGTGTGGCAAAGTGTTCAGAACCTACCACCAGCTGGTTCTGCACTCGAGAGTCCACAAGAAGGACCGGAGGACAGATGCCGAGTCACCCACCATGTCTGTGGACGGCCGGCAGCTGAGGACGTGTTCTCCAGACCTAGCCGGCACCCTGGATGAAAACGGAGCCACAGATCGAGAAGGAGGCTCTGAAGATGGATCCGAGGACGGACTTCCCGAAGGCCTCCATCTGGGTAAGCTGCGTGCTGGGCGCGGCCCTCTGAGGGCACGGTCAGCTCAGGGTCTGGGCAGCTCAGGGTCCGGGGCCTTGGAGTCCAGGCTATTGGGATACCACCCTGTCGAAAGTCACTTGACCCCCTCTGGGTTGAGTTAAAAGGCCTATCTATCAAGGTTTCTTCCTGTTCTGAAAGTTCTGGGATTTTATATTTTGCTAATAAAGGACACATTATTTACCTTGTGCATCAGCCTAAAGTGATGCTTCTTAAGTAGGGTGTTTTGCCCCAGAGCAGTGGTCGCCAACCTATCGGACCTCACGGATCACCGGTTGGTGACCGCTGCCCCAGAGGACATCTGGCAGTGTCTGGAGACATTTTTGGTTGGCACAACTGTGTGGGGGTGTGTGCTGCTGGCACCCAGTGGGTGGAGGCCAGGTACGCTGCTAAACATCCCCCAGTGCACAGATGGCCCCACAACAGAGAATGATCCTCCCAAACTCAGTAGCTCAGGGTTGAGACCCTGGCTTTTGCTTAACTTTTTTTTGGCATTCCTGATCTTACCTATAAAAATAAGATACCCTTATGCGTAAACTTCCCTATCTGTCAAGGCCCAGCTCTCATATGTTTATTGCAAATGGATTTCCAGTGGTGACAAGGCACTAGGAATGATGGGTAACCAGAGTGAGAATACTGCTGTTAGAGACACCACTTGGTGTGCCTGGTATCCCGTCCTTTGTGTCTGGGGGTAGTGTTCATTAAGTTACCTCAGAAATAAATGTGTCTGTAAAATACAGGGCATGTGAACACACCAAAGGGGTTCTCAAGCAATCTCATTTGCTCTGCCAAGTTTCTACTGTGCTAATGACATTTATTATGGGAACCGGAAGCTGCTATTGAAGGCTGGTTAACAGGTTGCTGGATTCCCAGTGGACGCTAGCCAGGGCAGAGGACTCCACCTGTGGGGAGTCTTGTCCACCCTCTCCTCTCCCAGAGCTTCTCATCCATTTGATCATATTTTGCTTGAATAAAGAATTCTGCTGCTGGAAAGCAGTTATAAAACCCAGCAAGTGGATAATGAGAACATGAGTTAGTTTTAGAGAAACGTTATCATTTAGAAAAGTGTTTTCGGTTAAAACAAATGCTGCCTTTTGTTGTAACTTGACTGGATGTCTGTAAGAGGTCTGCGCGTGAGACCCAAGATGAGTTTGACCAGATAATACATGGGACTTGCCATCCTCTTTTAAGCCTGTGCCCGGTTGTTTTTCTGATCACGTGGTAGATGTGAGAGCCGTGGTTTTCATGTCAGATATTTAGACTGCTTTGAGTTTCCTGGGATGCAGGAAACCTAGCACTTAGAGAACTACCATCTTCAGTGTTCAGAAGTCCAGAAAATACATTATGGTGTCTTAGTGACATCATAAAAAACTTTAAACCCAGCCCTCTAGTCTTTTAGGTGGCATCTTTCAGAGTCGGTTCTGTTCAGGGCCATGTGATCATTGGGAAATAATGAGGCTCTAGAGATGCCCCAAAGCTCCGAGAGGAATGAAATGGCCTGTCCATGTTCTGCCAGCAGGTGGTGTGGGCAGAAGAACCTGGTGGAATGTCAGTCAGTGTGGCTAAGTGGTTGAGCATGAACCAGGAGGTCACAGTTCAGTTCCCGATCAGGGCATGGGTTGTGGGCTCGATCCTCAGTAGAGGGCATGTAGGAGGCAGCCAATCAGTGATTCTCTCTCAGTTGATGTTTCTACCTATCTCTCCCTCTCCTTCCCTTCTCTGAAATCAATAACATATTTTAAAAATTTTAATTAAAAAAAAAAAAAGAACCTGATGGAAAACTTGGGCTTGGTCGTCGGGCAACTAGAATACCCATTATAGCTGGGAGCGCCAAGACCCGGGTTTAGTCTGGTTCTGCCACTGCATTGTTTTGTGACCGATTATGTGTTGCTTAACCTTTCTTTGCCCTGATTTCCCTGTTTGTGAAATTGGTTCATCGAAATTTTCCTTGTCTTTCACCTCTCAAGGATGATTTCCACAGCTTGCCTATAAAAAGTTCAGTCCTTAAAGGACAGCACTGTAAAATCAAAGGTGATGCTAAAAAGAGCAGGAACCAGGTAGATGTGGACATTTCATGTCCTTTCTGTTAGAACAAAGGCATTGCCTAACCTTTTGGATCTGATGCAACATACCATAAATCCTGACACATAGTTGGAAGTAGGAAATTGCGATTAAGGTACCAACCCAGCAACAGACTCGGCTAGTTGAGTGTGATTGTAAGGAGAGCTGGGTGTTCTGTATGCGGGGAATTGTTTTTCCTAGATTTATGAGGCTGGGGCAAAAGTAGGTTTGCAGTTGTGAGTGTGTGACAGACTTTATTCTTGTATTTATTAATTACTGTATTTTCCATTTGAACAACTGTAAACCTACTTTTGCCCTGCTCTGTATTCTGATGATGCCTTCTGGTCTAGATTGAGTTTACTATAATTTATTATCAACCTGGCTTTCTTTAGATTTATTTATTTTTTTGTTGTTTTAATATGAGAAGAATGGAGAAGAGAGAGAGGGAAACATCAATGATGAGAGAGAATCATTGATCAGCTGCCTCCTGCACGCCCCACATGGGGGATTGAACCCACAACCTGGGCATGTGCCCTGACCGGGAATAGAACTGTGACCTCCTGGTTCACAGGTCGACATTCAACTAGTAAGCCACACCGGCTGGGCATAGATTTACCTTTAAGAAGATCCAAAAGCGAAGTAAATAATTCATTACAAGTTTTTTTCCAGCTTTTAGAAGTGGGTTTAATAATAGTTCCTGTGATTACTTTTTAAAGTCCTTGTGGCACCTTTTTTTAGATCCAGGGTTGTCTCTGCCATGTTAGCACATGTAGAGGTGTTCAGAGGTTAAGCGGTGGACACATTTTCCTCAGGGGAACTTAGGGTGACGGAGTGTACGGTCCTGTCTTTATTGTACCTGGAGGCTGACTGAGGGTTGGCTTGTAAGCTGCTTTTTAAAATCAGTGAGCTATAAGTAATCGAGAATGTGAAATGTGGAAGGAGCAGGGGAGAGAGAAGCCTTTTAGCTGGAAATAAGTTTTTCAAGGCAAAATGACCAGTTTAGTTATGCTAAATTTTAATAGCTGTCCCACTCATCACATTGTAATGTTCATAGGATGAGCTCTACAACAAGAGGACATTGAGCTAAAACTTAACCACTCATTTCTGGGGGAGCAGGTATTTTTACTGCAGCATATCTAATTGTCTTTTGGAGGGCTGGCGTGATGTTTAACGATCCTTTAATTATGTGTCCCCAGTTGACCTTTGCTCTGTTGCCTGTAAGATACACTGTCCTGATCATCCTGT